GGCAACAGGATGAATTGTACACAGTTTATTGGTCATCTGAGGTGACTTTTAAATTCATTGGTGGTACACAGGTGAGAACTGGGGACATGACCCATCACCTATGGCCCACCCTTATAGTGGTTAGGCCCTTCCTGGAAAATCCCACCCCTATAGCAGTTAGGCCCTTCCTGGAAATTCCTTTTCCCCTGGCAATGGAAAGTTCCAAAAAGGTTGATGGGTTCTTAAGCCATTTAAATACTATTTAAACTTAATTAATCTACCTTATCACACAGCAAGCCATTTCACAGAAGCAAATTGCATATGTTATGAAAGTGGGGGTTAATTTTATCTCTACACTCTCTCTCTCCTTCCAAATGCTGAGAAAAGGCCATGTAGAGACATAGCAAGAAGATGGATGTCTTCAAGCTAGGAAGAAAGCCAGTAGCAGAAACTGAATCAGCCAGCACCTTGATCATGAACTTCCCAGCCTCCAGAACTGTAAGAAAATATATGTCTGTTGTTAAAGCCACCCAGCCTGTGGTGTTTTGTTATGGCAGCCCAAGCAGACTAATACAGTTGCTAACCTGTACAACTATATTGCTGCCAGATCATTTCTGGACAAAATCCTCCCTTGGTGGAATTTGCATTCTCAGAGGGAGCACTTAGGGACCCAAAACTCTTCACTACCAAAAATGATTGATCCCTAATGGTGAACTTCCGGGCATCATGACAGACCTTGCAGGAAGTTATATATTGGAAATAGACTGTCAAGTTTAGGTGGGGACATGTTGCTTTGCCTCCCACGGATTTGTCACCCCTTTTCCCCTGGGTGACGGAGCCGCCAAAGAGTACTCAAAGCCCATCTGTTTTGAGCAGAAAGGGGTTAATCTCTCAGAACTCCCTCAAGCATGAGGAGTCATTTCTTCCATTTGGGAAATTAACCACGAATTGGGGTTCTCTTCCTGCATTTATTCTCCAGACCAAGAAGTTACAGGAAGAGACATAGGAGGGTTTTGCTAAGTACAGTTTAAAAAGTTTTACAATAGAAGCTGGTAACATTCAGTAAAAACAAGTCAGATGACATTCTGTTAGGCAATTAAGTGGTCCACTAACAAAGGCTTGATTTAGCCGATATTCCTTTTCCCTCTAGCAGCTTTTTAGTAACTTTACATATCAATTAGTAACTTGTCTGTCTTAGAACCAGCAGCCTTGCTGTGTTACAATTCTTATCTTGCAACAGAGACTCAATGCTCTGGGGGAAATTTCCTGTCCTTTGCAAGGTCAATATTTGAAACTGCAAGGCTTTGGAAAACCAGGCCCTGTGAGGTACATTTGCTTTACGAATCCTCTACAGAAAGGTGAAACAACGAAGTTTGGAGAAGATAACATAAAATATTTTCATGAACTTGGGGTATGAAAGACTTCTTTAGAAGAACACCACAGGGCCGGCTTGGGAGTGGGGACAGATCAGAGAACCTCAAATATCTCACTAAGTAGTGGAATTAATTTAAGAGACAATGACGCATCTACCGAAAGTTTTTGAGGAGGTATCATGACCAAATCTTTACTTTAGGTAAGATTTTTGTTATTATTATTATTTCAATGGTTTTTATAATAGCTAGCATTTATTGAACACTTTCTCTTTGCCAAACACTCTGTATGCATTATCTCTAATTAGTGAGGGAAAGCTAAAAGAAAGACTTTGAAATGGACCCAAAAAATGACTGGATGTCTTGAATGGAAAACAAGGTATGATCTGGGTTATGATTCTTTCAGCTATTTTACAATGCTATAAAATATAGAAAATTGAAAACAATGCAAATAACTTTTATCCACTGAAATGAAAATAAAATGTGCTCAGTGGAAAGCAGCTGATTATTGCCTTTTGAATAGACCCAGTTTGCACCTGTTTGTGAATTCAGTTAGGCATTCCCTATTGCCTATATTACATGTGGTTCTTTGAATTCTCCTCTAAGCCAGTTAAGTCATCTCACTGGTTAGAGTAAGAAGTCCTCCTGCTGTATCATATTGTCACATTGTCAACAACACTCCCACCCTTGTCTGACTCATCTGAACAAGTAATTACTGAAAACCAGTAATGGAAAATTGCAAGAACTGATGTTCTGTAACTGGGATTTAGAGAGACAGACTCCATCTTTTTCTATGCTCTGTCATCACCACCTTTTGTGTGTGAGTAGGTAGGGGGTAGCTGTGGGGAAGGGGGAAGGAACGGCATAGGTGACCATTTACTCTGTCTGCTAATAGTCTGACACTACCCACCACCATAAACCGAGGCTCCACTTCTCTGTCTCTAATAGTAGCCTTGGAAATATCAAAGATATTGTTCATGATGATGATTCCTAATCGCTCACTTTCACATACTCCTAGTACAATGGATTTATGAGAAGTTACTGTTTGCCTTCCTAAATGAAATCACAACATGACAATGATAGTTCCTTAAATGCGTAATACTGTGTGTTTTAAACCCTTTCAGATCGACTATCACAAAATAGTCTTGGGAAGTAGGCCAAATTTATATTATTATAATCTCCATTTTACAGATGAAGAAATCAAGTTCCACACAGGTGAAGTGATTTGTCCAACAGTGACCAGTAAGATATTACAAGAACTGGATTCCTCTCCTTAATTCAGATAAGGTCTTTCTTGACTACCCCATCTTTCTCCTCCCTTACAGATGCACATGTGCACACATAGTATTAACCTGGCCCATGTCAGCAGGTCAGTGACACAGCCTCTCAGCCGTCCCCTCAATTTCCCACCTGAACCCCACAGCCCTAAGCTAATTCTTCCTCCTCCTCTGGGACTTAGTTAACATGCCCCTTCTTCCACTGTTCTGGACTGAATTAGTTGCCATCCCACTTGCTCCAAGATGCCTTACACTTCCCACATGACAGCATTTGTCACACAACAATGTAATTGCCTCTTTGTCAAAGTCACTTATAAATTGTGAGCTCTGCAAAGGCAGGAACATGGCCACTGAAGGTGATCAATAAACGTCTGAGTGTTGAAGAGAACCCAGATGTTGCCTTAAGAACAGCTGCAAGCTCAGGTGAGATCCAGGTCTTCCCTGTAAGTCTCACACCTAAACCAATGGCTGGTCTTGGGCATGGCTTCTAGTGAAGCCAAGCAGGGGAGTCTGAATTTACAACAAGCCATGTTTTCTAAAAAAAAAAACAAAAATGTCCCCTTCAGGACCAGAATTTACCCAGGCCCAAATATATCCT